AAAAAAAAAAATTTGGTACCATTTTTAATATATGACTATACATAAATTTGATTTACATAGTGCATTTAACACCCCAATGTAACAGCAAAGTTCATAATGTTATTGTTATTGTTATTTAACGTTATGCGTATATGGCATTATCTAGAATTTCTGATTATTCAAGAAATAATAACTGACTATTTCTGAAGAATATTTTGTTTGTGAGAGGAATACAAAGCAACACTGTAATATAAACCTTTATTATAATGTCCTCTATGCTGTTGGAGTTAAACTCCACACTTTGTGCGTACATTAAATGCATACGTATTTGTATATTAGTGTGACCTTACTAACCTTTGTAATAATTAGATCGATATATTTATTATGTACTGTACATACATATGTACATACATACATCAAATCATGCTTTATTGATAATTAGATTAAAACAAGAATAAATAAGAAGTACTAATTGACTAATAAAGATGACCGAATAATTGGAATTCTTAATTTTATTGAAACTTATTAGATCTTAAAATTGACCTCCATTTAAAACATCATATTCGTCAGAGGCAATTACAGTTTTTACAGGAAACATATCGTCCCCTTCATAAATTACAGTTGTTAAATCACTAGAATTATTATCTCGGACAAATTTGTGTCCAAAAGCAATAGGTTTTCTAGTGATTTCTTCAAAAATTTTTGTTTGCATAATTGAATCATACATTATTCTTGCAAAATTGAAATAATTATTAGTAAATTCGTAATAAAAAATACACGAAATCAAAAAAAAGAGACAGAAAAAGACTTACAAGCAATATGCTAAAATAATCTGAGGCAAAGGTCAGAAATATCCATGGCTTTATATAAAAAGATTCTAATGTCTTTTTTGCCTAATTTCTTTATTAAAATAAAACAATAACCAGACACTTGGTTCACTTGATTTTATAATTGTTACTGTGCCGCGTTATTTCGAAATTTCCCTGGTTACACGATTACATTCGCATGATGATACTTATGTATGTACAAATCATAAAATTTTGATTAACCCGATTGTACCGACGGAACAAAATAAAAAAGTAAGTTTTATAAAAAATTTAGTTAAATATTACTAAAAATAATACAAAATTTAATAACTTTATAAAAAACA